ACACACACACACACACACACAGAGAGAGAGAGAGAGAGAGAGAGAGAGAGAGAGAGAGAGAGAGAGAGAGAGAGAGAGAGAGAGAGAGAGATTATTGGTTAGAGCACCTGTCTCATGAGCAAGAGGTTCTTCTTCGCTTCACATACATGCAAAGAGATGGTGATTCACACTGGCGCACAGCGCCCGCTCAAAACTCAGAGATATGGAACTCGAGAACGCAGTTCAGGCGCAAATTTGCTTCAACAGGCTATGGCGCATCAACGCCTGTACATCCCAACTCTCGATACTGTTTCCAACACCACTGTTTGCTCTCCCTTAACTCTGGATCACCGTGAATACCCCACACACACACTCTGTATCACACTTCACACACTAACACCTCTCTGCAACCTACAGCGGCTACGGCCGCTCAACCACTAATTATGGCTATGCTAACTTCTTCCAGCCCACTTCGACTTCGGGCGCTCTGCAGACCACCTTGCACAAGACGCTTGAGACAGCGCTTCCGCATGGCTTACGCAGCGAATGAAAATTGCTGGATGCTGCCTCTTGATTTATACTTTTGTTGGTCGCTGGTCTGCCTCTTTCCTCCAGGCCCTCGGCGCACACAGTCCCACACGGTACTTGCTTGACTGGACTGCGACTGACTGGACCGGTACCGCTGACTGCACAGGGTTGCACTGCGGACTCAATGGGGCCGCACTGTCTACTTGACGCAGCTGGACCTACAACTTACCTACAGACCTCTAGCCTAGCAGTTTCGACCTCTACACAGCTGTAACCGCTACTTGACAGGTCTACAGATCGAATCCCTACAACTACAGGGACCTATGACAAAACACAGTCACATCTAAAACACAGGTCGTGGGTTCAAAACACACATCTGTGATAACCCGTCCAAACATGGACTGAAACACACAGATGATTTCTGAGTTTTGCTCATAGACTAAATGCCTACAACTTACCTACAGACCTCTAGCCTAGCAGTTTCGACCTCTACACAGCTGTAACCGCTACTTGACAGGTCTACAGATCGAATCGCTACAACTACAGGGACCTATGACAAAACACAGTCACAACTAAAACACAGGTCGTGGGTTCAAAACACACAGCTGTGATAACCCGTCCAAACATGGACTGAAACACACAGATGATTTCTGAGTTTTGCTCATAGACTAAATGCCTACTGAGTTCCCCCCTGCTAAGTCTGTGTGTGTGTGTGCTTGCTGGACTGCATGTCTGTCTGAGTGCTGGTTGGCTGCGTGCATGTGACTGTGCCTGTCTGTGTGCTGGTTGGTATGAGTGTGTGTGTGTGGCCCACCGGGGCACTTGTTCGTTCGTTGGGCCCTCAGGGCCGGTACTTACCTGTGGTCGTGGCTTTGAAGGGTTGCAACACCTCTCACCAGTACTTACTATTCACTTCGCAGATGCTCCATGGTGGGGAGCAGCATACAACCATATATACACATATTCCACACCCAATACTGTCTACACAGATTCACATAATATGCACACAAAAAAAAACAGATTGGGGAGCTAGTCACTGGTGGGGTCCAGTGACTCTAGTGCCTGCAGTAGGTTCAGGTAGGTTGGTGTTGCATACTGTAACGGTGCAGACCAGAACAAGAACTGACCTCTCAATACAAAGTACAAGATAGCGTAGCGGAAGACTTAGATACCAATGATCCGAACAATCAATATTGCAATGCAGCCCCGAACATACATCATCATCATCATTCCATGGTGTGAACTTTGAAGGGGGTCTGGCGCTCACACAGGAAGACTGCGCCAGCCCCAACTATACACAGACGAAGAAGAAGGGGGTTAGACGAAGAAGACGGGAAGATGGGAATGTCGTCAACACCAAGTCTTCGGCACAGGCCCAAATAGTCCCTCGTCCAATTCCGCTTCCACCAGGGCTGTCACTGGTAGGGTCTAGTGCCTGCAGTAGGGTTAGGTAGGTTGGATAGGGTGCCATTGGGTGGAGTTCCTACTGACATTCGGATAGAACTGTCTGGTGGCTATCAGCCCTGGTGCCTATCACTGCTGTTCGGTCAAAGTTGCCTGCTCGTGGGCAGGGCAACTGTCCTGAGTGCTGGTTACACTGAGGTAGGACAGTGGGATAGGGGGTGCGCTAGGAGTACGACGAGAGGATGGGTTGGGATGCGGTCTCATAAGGACACCCATGGCTCACGGTCCCAGGTGATCACTATGCACTCATTGACTGACCTCTACAACACCCTGGACTGAAAAAAAAAAAAAAAAAAAAAAAACACAACGCAACCGTGTGACACCATTTTGACATTAACAAATTTGAAACAAGAAATGCAAGGAACATGAATATGGACGAAGCACAGAAATCAAAATTGCAAAATCACACTGAAGTCCAAGTAGTCAAAGCAAGAGCAGATAGCACAATGGAACCGAGTAACCATCCATTTGAGAACGATACAGAAGAATCATGAGTCAATGTCCAAGCCCAATGGGGCAACACCAACAGCATAACCCAATGTAGCTCTCTCTCTTGAATGGCGCCTGGCGCCCTATCTACTCTACAGCCTAATACTACAACTACATCATGAAAGCAACCAGACAACTTGACGACCAGCGAGTGATGATGTCAACACCAATGCCGACCTCCCTCTCCACCAGGTACGTCTCTCTCTTCTCCCTCACTCTCCCTTGTTATCCCACACAGCGCCCTTCACCTCCGAAGAACCACCTTTGCCCTTCACCTCCTCTGCGCCCTACAGGCAGCCCGGCTCCTCCTCAGTCACCTGCTCCCAGGCAGCACTCTACCGCTTAGCGTTATCCTGTCTCTCTCAGCCGCAGCGCAAGTGCAGCACTACAATGCAGCAGCATGCCCGCAATGCCTGCATTGGCCAAGATCCCTGCCCACTCGCCCTCCCTGCCTATATGCCAGTGTTGCGTGTGGGCGGCCTCCCTTGAGCCTGTGCCTGGGCCTCAGTACCTGTACCCAGGCCCGATGCGGTTGGGGCCCAGGAGATGCAGTTGCGCCTCTTTCATCAAGGCCTGCGGCCAGATTCAGATAGTGGATTGGTTTCCCATTGGCATTTCCGGCCTCTATATCCAGCATGCATTGTCGGCCTCACGTTTATGTGCCCAGGGCCAAACCAACTCTGGGGCTCTGGGTTTCTGCATTTGCAGAGCTCCGATACTCGGTGCACTCCAACCAACTGGCGTGCTGCAACTGTATGGACCCCACACGTGATAGAAAGCTCAGCGTTGAGAAAACTCAACTTTGGCGGTGGGACTTCACCCCAGGGGACCGGAAAAAGACAGAG